GGGAAATGGGGGGGGGGGGGGAAAAGGGGTTCCCTTCCCCCGTGGTGAGGGTGAAAAAGGTTCCGGGTAGGGGATACCCCCCGGGGGGGGGAAAACCCCCATTTCTTCTTCACCGGGTTTTTTTTTTTGCCCCCCCCCCCCCCCCCCCCCTGCAATGTACCGCTGAATGTCTTCGACTGCCGTGTTCTCCGTGTGTCTGCGGTATAGGCTGTTCTAGGTGGCGGCGAATAGTTCTGGTAATTCCATGCCAGATACATGTTCATCAACGTTGACCTCGACGCGGTAATTCGTGTCAGCCATTCATCACAGTATTGTGCGACAGATATGATGGTGAAAACTGGTCCAACTGCATTCCCACGCACGCATGCGTACGTGTTCACCTTTTCCCGCGAGGCATATCCTTCTCAGCCCCATACTACGCCTCGCTCGAGACACCCCTGCCGTCTTCGCTCCTCGCCAATACACGGACTGATGCGGGGCACCATTGCGCGAGAACCCACATCGGGATCCCGAAGAATATTTCTAAACGAGTCGAAAACTCAAGAAACACGCAACAAACAACGATCCCAGGATGAAGGACGTCAGAACAACCGTGAAGGCCAGCATCAATTCCATTCCAGCCTACGGTAACCTGACCCCCACTCTTCCTGGCAGAGATTTCGGCCGACCCGGTCGAGATACCGGAGATTTGCTCAACACGTTGTTGCATTGCACTCTTGGTCGACTTAAGTCCATGCCCCTGGTACAGTCGATGGCGTACAGCTGCCTGCCTTAGGTGACACAAGGCGCCACACCCCCTCGACCAAAACATTTACTACCCCACGACGAAAGAGATACATTGATGAAACGGTACGTTTGTTTTCGGAAAGCTCTCCACGAGACGGCATTAACATCACCGCCGTTTTCGGCGCCTCCACCCTTTCTGCCGTGGAGAAATCGAGCCTTGAAACTCGGCCCAGCCCGGCATGCGTCGCCTACGCGGCGGACAGCACGTTTTCGAAGCCCTGCAGTGGTCTACCCGAGAGAGAACTCTCCAAGCTATCATCAGTGGAACGTACCGCTGGCACGTACGTGCGGAGGAGCTCGGAACCCGACAAAAGTTTTCAACTACTCTACCCCCGCCCTCCCCCGCCGGCGAACGGTTTTCGGGGGGAACTCCCAGGACCGGCTCCTGCTTTGGTGGTAGATGAGCTTTTTTGGGACAGGGCGTCCTGTCGGCTCTGGATGTAAGCAACGTGGCTCACGAGCTCCTCCTCCATTAAGGTCGGGTCCCCAGTACTGCCCAAGCCATGACGCAAGAAGGTACGTTGTGAGGCGTACTCGGCACTAGAATATAGGGATCTACGGGGATTTGTGTATCATGGTGGTATATGTTTGTGGAAGGGCGATCCCCCTTCTGCCCTGCATGGGCAAGGACGGCCTGGGCTACCAAGGTCCTGAGTCAACCTTTTCTCCGCAAACTTCTGACGAAAAGGACTCGCTACACGAAAGACATAGCCGAACATGGTAAGAACGAAAATCACACGTTTGGCGCCGTACAGGCCACTGGTTCTGTAGTTCAACCGCCATTGCGATGTACCTTGTCATTGTATTGGGGGGGGAGTCGTTGGAAACCATCAGCGGTGAAGCTCAACGTAGCATCGACCGAAAATCATGCCAAATAACATGGACAAATAAAAAAATATGCACAGTTTTCAGCCTGCATCGGCAAGCCTGTCCTTCTATGTGTTCAGAGTCTACGTGCCCCTCTCATCGATCGACGGTGTTTATCCGTTCCTGCAAATGCACGAGAGGCACCGAGGGAGTAGACAAACGAATTCGTTCCAGCGATGACGCTGAGGCATGGCGGCACTTTCGTTACGGTGGGTGAGGAGGGGCTAGGCGGGAGAAGTTTCCATGCTGGTCACAGAACTAGCTGTGGTCGGAGCCCAAGAGATACGACTCCGTGTTGGAGGCCCCGTCCACGGTAGACGCGAGGGCCACGAAACAAAAGCAAGAGACAAAATAACGAGACCAGCATTGCGGATGGGCAAAAAGAGCGGTGGCCCGTCAGGTTTGCCGGCCAGATGTCTCTAGAGGTGACGCTACCGCTGGCAGTCGCGGAGACGTTCCCGGACTTGGGCATTCATTGCGTTCGGAAACAATATAGTGGCAGCAGGGTCTCCACAACATCCCCAAATTCCCGCCCTAGAGAGGAATCCCCGAATTTGAGACGCTCCTGAAAGAAAAGCATGGTGTCATCGGACTCGATAGCTCTAGAGAAGATGTTAAATGATGGAATAATACGGTGGGAGCTGCATGTTCGCAAAGAATAGAATCAATATGCGTGCTTCCGGTCTACCACCAGGGCTAGGGTTTAGGGATAGGGGAACGGATTGGCTTTGCATTTCCTGAAGCTGGTGTAATGCCAAGCCTAAGGCCGATGCCAAAGCCAACGTGCTGCGGGAGCCTCTCTCTAGATGTGAAATATTGCCAAGAGAGCAACTATCACATCGACGCAGGGTCATGTGGTGACTCCACTCAATTTTGGACTCACTTTCCGATCGTTGCCGTGATTCGTTCCACCGCTGGCAGTGGAATGCCCACGCCGATCGATTGGAAAAAGCTATGCATCTGGAAGATAAGCATATTTATCAGCAGTGACGGGAAGAGATGAACAAGTCCATGCGGTAACAAGCTGGGCAAGGCTGGCATGGCCTAGGCAGACGGAAAGTAGGAATGGAGGCCCCGTGGATGAAAGTTGGGCTCGCAGACTGTCGCTTCACCAGGGAGTGCGCGAGTGGTGCTGGACCGTACATCGACATTAGGGAGTTTGGTGCCGCTCGATGATATCAGCCAAACCTTAGTCTACTCCACGGCGGGTCGCCATTCTTCAAGGGCAACATATCCGTCAACACGTCCCTTTTTACGCTGGCAACCAATCAACCAATACCCTGTCCCTACAACGTGCCACTACACACTACCCCGTCTTGGCCGCGACACGCATCCTGCACAACTAACCCGTCCGGATGGTCTCGAGCGAGTATAATCTTGCCTGTTTCGAACCCATCGGAGTGGATGAGCTTCTGTTGGCCATCCGGAAGAAGTGCTTGGTGTGTCCTCCGCGAGCCGTCGGCGGCACGTGACTTCCCCTCACGAAGCCCGCCGACTGGATAAACTGTCTTCGGTACAGAGAAGAGGCAAACCACGGAGGAGATGAGAGGGAGAGAGCGAGAGAGAGAGAGCGAGAGAGAGAGCGAGTGGATAGAGGCGCTACAAAACGACAACGTGGCAAACCCCCGTCGAAAGATATAGAGAAGAAGCGGTCACAACGCTTCAAACAATGGGCTAGGGCAAGCGCCCTGTAACAACAGTATGATGAAGGGAGGATCTCGTCATCTCGCTTATTGCGAAAACGGGGGCGGGGATGCCTTGTTGCGAAAACAGGGGCGGTGATGCCGCGCTGCCTCGTATGTGTGATTTGCAGGTCTGTCTTGACAGGATCAGGTTGCGTTACGTCAAACGGTTCAAATCGCCAACCCACGTCGTGTAGCGATGTTGCGCAAGTGAAGGACAGTGTTAGACGACAATTTTCTCATCTTCTAATCAAAACTTCATGGCACACGTGCCCCGAACGATCCCTTCGGGGGCACACGTTCTTTCACCAGGTACCGTGGTACATACTGGATGAGTTGCCGTCAGGCATGTCCCTCCGGTGATACCGAAGAATCCTATTGCCCCTCCTCCCGTTCCGACCAGTATCATCTGGAAGTGGGTGGTAGGGAGGTGATACGAACCTCGAAGAAACGACTTTGAAGGTGTGTTGAGGCCTTCATGTGCCCACACCTGAATGCCACGCGCCCGTCCTCGGAGCTGCGTATCGAGGAACTCTCGACCGGGTGATAACCGAGGGTGCTGCAGGAAAACCCGTTTGATTTGATAGACACAGACGACAGACGATGCGAGTTGCGCGTACTACACCATGTTAGGGCGCTGCAGGAAAACCAGTTTGATTTAAAAGTCGCAGACGACAACAGCGGTGCGTAACGTGTATCGTTAGTATCCGCCACGCATAAACGTCTTGCGCTTTCTGGTTGCGATGTTTCGATCGTATTTCTGCAACATGGACCATGGCATGGCCCACTCCAGGAGAAGGCACACGATTCGCGTCAAAGCACGATACGCAACAAAGTCTACAACCGGACTGAATTTCGACGCTCAATCCCCATGACCAAGAGGACGACAAACTCGAGTGATCCGTGTTAGGGAAAGCTCGTGACGCATGCCGGTTCCAACGCCGCATTCCACTAGGCAGTTGTTGCCGCAGAACGCTCGACCACTGAAAACCGGTCCACGGGGTGCCGAATCTAAGTCAAATCGGGCGTTCTTGTTGGGCGGGAACAATCAGTACTGCACGTCACGCATCGAAGAAAATCTCACGTGCAAAGGAGGCAAGCCTCTTCGACCGTTAGCATCCCGTCCCTATCTCGGTCGTACATGTCGAAGAGAACTTTCATCAGCTCAACATCCTCCTCCTGTCAGAAGACAACATCGCGCAACGATCGGTATCGTGCGAATTCAATACAACGATCAGCGTGTTTTGCTTTTTGTTCTCAGCAAGAGGTGGATGGGCACATGTGGTCTCCTGTGTGCAGACATACAGAATACACATGGGAGTGGAATGCGGGTTTTTACAGTAGGCCGCCATCGAAACGGCCTTACAGCATACAACAGGCGTGGACACCACACACTGAACACAGCCCTCGGAGGGAATTCTTGCTAGATCGATCTGTCTTCATTGACTGCACGCCGAACCTACAGCAGGAATGTGCAGAAGTCTACAATACTGTAGATTGCATGTAGGAAATGCTGGTGGCCACGTTACAGATACCAAATCTCAGATGAAGGCCATATTTATCCCCAGTGGCGCATCTGAACCTTATGGCTTATTGACCGAGGTGTACATCTTGATGTGATGAACCGTACAAGAGCGTGGTGGGGCTGTAAAGGCTTGCTTGTCGGCTGGCCGCCCTGAGCTGCCGTAGCCTTCTATTACAGTAATCCTATCCATACCCCTCTCTTCGCATCCTTCACTTGTAGGCCCCTACGGAAGCATATTGCCAAAGCAACAAAACCCTACCACCTCACTACCCTTCCGCAACGTGAAGTAGCACGTAACACGCACCTTGAAGCCAGTCAACCGAAGAAGCTGGCGGTGCTCGTGGTCTGTCGACTTCGGGCGTCGGGGGTTGGCCTCGCCCGCCACGAGAAGAGGCCCTGGTTTGAAAGCGCGAAAGTCTCCGCCGGCGCTGGAGACGATGGTTGACGACTCCGAACTAGCGAAAGAGAACATGTTATCGTGTTAATGCTCGGTGGATCCAAGGGGGCATAGCGTGGTGGACGACGTTCTTGAGCCACCCACGAGCCAGCGCCAAAGACACAGGAGCGGCACGGGAAACACACACACGTCATCAAAGATCACAGATCGAAGGGGTTCCGAAATTAAGGAATAATATAAACACACACAGAAAGACTACCCGTTCGAAATACAACCGCCCCGACGAAACGACACCTATTTCGCCGCTTACACATTTTTTTTTTTCGAGGGGGAGGGCACAACAGATGCGCTTCACTGCAGTAATAACACGGCATTCCCCGATGCTCGTATTCCCACCGGAGCCACAGCATGCACGATCGCGCGATATTTCACGTCGCTCCCACACAGACAACGACGTTCCTAAGAAACTCATGTAGACCTACAGTACTGCCACGTGTGTGTAAAAACCCTTCGAATACATACATAAAACATGGTGGTAGTCGATTCCTGCCGAAGTTCAGAACTTTCGATGTGCCTTTTTCACTTGCGCGTGGATACATCTTCATGTCGTTTCTTGTCGTGATGTTTGACGGCGTATTGGGTGTATACTGCAGCGCAAGCATTTATTTTGCAAATCACGACCACGGAATCTATCTCCCTCTGTTCGCGAGGAGAACGCTGCCAGCTTTGCCGAACGGGTACTTGACGCATTTTTTTTGTTTTTGAAAAAAATTCTTTGATTCTGGCCATCTTGAGGTAAATGTCGGGGAGATGTTAATGCTGGCCCCCAAGACGTTTCGAATTAAAGAAAATGATCATCCGTAGCAATCCACGCAACTCGACGCCACCGCCGTCACGAGAAAACAGTATTCCTGGTCCACTCTGACTCGTGTTTGTTCGAAGGTCATCGCGCCAAACAAAACTCGACATTTTTCCAAAAAAATCCCGGACGGACAATCGACCACCTTGCACTGCTTTGTGAGGAAACAAGCAGTGGTACTACGTTAACCCGTTAAAAGATCATAGCTAATAGCTTATCTCCCCGCCGAGAAACCGAAACACTTTTACTTTCCGAGAACAACGAAATCCCTTTCCGAGAAGAAAAAAACGCCCCACCGAGGTATTGAAACCCCTCGCCGAACAAACGAACCGCCCCACCCACGAGGAAACGAAAGGCCGCCTTTGTTCATCCGACCCTTACAGCAGTAGAACATCGGGCCAGTCAAAACAGACAAAGAGTTCATCGCTATCTTCACGACCAATGGGTGTCCAGGATACGGAGCAGAAAAATATGTCTCCTACCAATGGTTGTGACACCAAAACGGCGAACAACTCGCCGCTGCCGTCGCACCAGGAAAACAAGCTCCCCACCAAACGCAACTCCGCGTTACTGTAACGCAACGGATCTTCTTCCCTCCGTGAAAACGGAACTTTCCATGAGATAGAAAAAACGCCAGAACGCTCTCTGCTCCAAAACTTGTGAACGACCAAGCTCACTCAACGTGCCCGACGCTACCAACCGCTAAGCCACACAACAACACAACACACGCTTCACTCGCTTCGCAAACGGGTCAACAGAGACGTGAAACAAAACCCCCGAGAAGTTGAAGTGTGTGCTCCGGCCTTCAACCCCATCTCCCCGGCGAAACAGGCATGCCTATTTCGGGAATCGCGTAGCCCACACGCGGTTGAGTATCTCAGGTGGCGTCGAGAACGCCTCGCCCTCTCAAGTCGACGACTGCTGTTTATAACCCTCCCTCCAGCAACCACGTGCTCGATGAGTTGCCCCCACTTCCACGTCCAGCATGCCATGTCAGGCCTCCTCGTCGTCGATGTTGCGAGCCTCAACGAGGATGTTCTCGAGCAAGTGCACCAGGTAGCGCTGCCGCGAACGAATTGACGGTTTCATCCACGGGGAGATAGAGGGGTCGGTTTGATATGTGAGACGTGCATTCTCTCTCATGGGTCTCTGAACGTTTCTCACGCAGCGATGGTACCGAGGACACTTCGGGCAAAGGAAAAAGAGGCAAACAAGAAAACGACATGACGAAACAATGCATACTGTTATGTTAGACCTCGAGATTGCAATTTTTTTTTGGCCAAAAAAGTGTCCGTGCTCGGTAGCCCAACAGACAGAGCCAGTTCAAAGTGACCAATCAACGACCCCAAAAACAGGTGGCCACGTCACCAAAACGCTGGAAATACGTGACTCGACTTGTACACTTGTCAACAACACCAAAGCGCACAACGTGCACTGCACAAAACACACACAACCACCGGACGACCCAGGAAAGAATCATGTGTACTACACTGGTGGATCAGGCGAACTAGTATAACGCATCAGCTGGAGCAGCAGCGCATGCATATGTATGCATTCACAGCAGCAGCAAAGTCGGAACATATGCGTATGATGAGACCCGAGGAAAACAAAAAAATGGTGTCATCAGAGGCAGTTCCAGGAGCTGTTTCTATCCGTTCTGCCGCCGCCCACAAGCTGCCACAGGCGATCCTGAGCGCATGCGCCGCTAGCCCTGCACACACTGGTTCTCGAAAGCTATCAACTTTGTTCGTCCTCGATGAACTGGTCCCGATATGTGCGTGAGCGTGTTTTCGAAAAAGCTTGAAGTTGGCGCCTGCAGCCAGTTCTTCAGCCGAATCAGACCCCAATTTCTTGCATCCATCCAAAACACGCTCACGCACATATCGGGACCAGTTCATCGAGGATGAGCAATGCTGACAGCTTCCGAGAACCAGTGTGGGCAGGGCTAGCGGCGCATGTGCTCAGGATCGCTCGTGGCAGCTTGTGGATGGCGGGAGAAGGGTGAAACCAAGCTCGAATATGACGTCCGATTTCGGCACCCTTTTTCTGTGGAATTTCAACATGTGTCACATGGCCCCGTTTCAAAGCAACGAATGTCGGTATCGCTTGCCAGCGCTTGGCCGCGGCTGCCTTTGTCAGAGTGTCTGAGCGTAAGCTTCGCACTCTACCTGAAAGGCGAGGTAGTTGTCCACGACAGCCTTCGTGCGCATGTCCAATCGTGTCTCCGGTGCGCTCTAAAAAGGCACCGTGAACCATCGAAATGTTGAAAAAATAATACTCCTGAGTACTCTTTTTTTTTTTTCGGCCATGACTTAAGGTGATCATCTCTAGAACTTGTGCCCATGAGAGCCCAAACGGGGGGAAACGCCCCTCAACGACAACACCTTGGATTGGGGTGCGGTTTTTTGCGTTGTGTGCGCAGAAACCAAAGGTAGAGATCACCAGGAACGGATTTTCGAGTTCAAGGGAGAACAATCGAGCAAATGGCCAAACCCCTCTAAAAAACAGTCAAAATCGTTTGTTCTCGGCCTTCGAGAGGACGGAGAAAAAATGTAATCCTGGTGATCCCTTGAGTATTGTCTGTAGAAAGGTGTTGCAGAGAACGCCTAGCCAACTCTCCACCTGGAGCCAGAACTTCGTCCCCCCGTTTCTGGTCTAAATCAAAGTAAATAAATATTCGGCCACCGAGTCATGAAAAAAGAAAAAGAAGTTTTGTTGAGCTCGTCGTTATGCCGTTTTTTGCTGGTCGTTAGCGGCCTAATCTCGAGGTCTAACTGTAGGACGGCCGTAAAAAAAAAGCACACGAAATGATTCGTACCGGCAGTATCGTGGTCATAGCTTCGATCATACTTCGAAGGTCCCAAGCGAATGGACGTGGGCGTTTCACGCGAAAAAAGACGGACACATGCCGACCAAACGAGACGGGAATACATACACCAGTCACACGGTGTACATGGAATGTGTTCTCTGAATCATGATCGAACTTTCCAACTCAAGCAAACACGGCACAACGAACGACCAATGAATAACACCGTGGCCCCCAATGGCCCCCTCAAAAGCGTCGGTTGAATGGTTCCACTGCTGAAATCGCGTCGCACGGATGACACTTTCAAGTTGTCTAATTCTCTGATGGTTGTGGGTGCTCGGGTATGGTAGTATAGGGCAGGCTGGCTCACAGCGGCGCTACTGATGCCTGCCCCTCCGGCGGTATCGAAATGTACTGTTTCTGTGAGGAAAACAAAAACAGTACAATTGCTGGAAGAAACAAAAAACAAGTACAATATCGAACAAAAGGCAGCAGCGGTTATCACCACCAGTCAGGCTAGACCAAACAGCAGTTCCAACAAAAGCAGAGGTGGTGACCTGCAGTCAGGCAAGACACCAAACACCACTTGACACAACGGCAGCGGCAGTTAGGCTGGACCAAACAGCAATTCCAACAAAAGCAGCACGAGTGACGAACAGTCAGGCAAGACACTCAACACCAGCTCCAACAACATCACCAGCAGTGCCGAGCAAGTCAGCTTGTGACTATAATATTTCCAACAAGATCAGCAGCGGCGAGGAGCAAGTCGGGCAGTGACTAAGGTACAACAAGAGAGCAGCGGTGACGACTACAACAGGCGGCGTAACCGACTAACCTTGTTGTCGATGCGGTTGGGGAACCGATCGGACACGAGCCTCAACACCTGCTGCCGCTCCAGGTACCGAGGGCCAACGATCTGAATCAGCCGCTCCTCCTCCGCCGGAGCAAGCCCCAGGAGGGGCACCGGCACCTGCAAGCAAGGTAGGGAGGGGGGGGGGGTTCTCATGTACCTACACGCATGCCGTAGTCGTTAGGCCATTGCCCTCGCACCCCTCCATACAATGCCGGAGGGGAGCGAAATGCCGGGTGTTCGCCAGCCCAGTCTACGTTTTACAAGGATTAATGAACCAGATGCTAGCGGAGGGGTGCTTGCCGTGTATAAGCGCGTGTTTGGCATCGACCCGATAACCGGCTGACCAATGAAAATACGGCGGAGTCAACGACATATAAACCTGTGCTGATGTGATTGTGACGTGCTTTGTCCTCTACGCAAGATTCGATCGGCAGTCGACACCATCAAAATAAAAAAGGGCTAAACCCAAACGGTACAACTATGGGATAAACGCAGAGAGAAATCCAAAGAGCACTGAAATACTCGTCACCTCGCGCAGGGAATATTCGCAGCAGGATGACAGGGAAAACAGGATGATCGCAAAAAAAAAAAAAGCCGGGATGGTGCCTACACCAAGTCGGCTTGCTGGAGAAGATGCAAAGACCACAACGAAAGGTGTTCTTGAGTACCACACACAGAGTACCGGCCGCTTTCTCGAGCTGAGCGCACAGAGCCTCGACACATACGCCGACCCTCCCCCCCCCCCCCCCCCCCCTGGCCCCTGGACTTCTCACCCCGAGCTCGACCTTAAAACTCCAGATGCAAAGCGAGAAACAACACACTCGAAACGTAGAGTATCACACGAAAATCACCAAGTGCATGCTTTCGTCGAGCTCACAGAGCCTCGGTACACACGCGGAGGCCTCCCCCTTCTGCCCCTTGCCTTTCTCACCCCGAGCCCGAACCTTGAACTCCAGATGCAAAGAGCGCAACAAACGGATTTTGTCGTACTACATGCTACCACGAAAAACATCGGTGCCTGCTTGGGTGCAACATCCGGCCCACCCGCCGGATCCCCCCCGCCCCTTTCACCGTGAGCTCGACCTCTAACATACTCCAGACGCAGAGTCCGAAACAACACACAGGATTCGCTTAACATCATGCCCAGACCACGGGTGCCTGCTTGAGTTGACGTCCCCCCTCCCCCCCCCGCATTCTCACCCTGAGCTCGACCTTGAACTCCGCAGGGTGCACTCCGTGCGCGTTAGGGTAGCGCTCGTCAGCGTCTCCCGCCATGTACGTCCGGCAGCTGAACCCCAGGATGTCATCGGGCACCGTGCGCGGCGGAAGCGGCTCGCCGGACATCGCTCCCCCCCCCCCCGGTTCTTCCATCGAGTCCTCGTCCCCCCCTGACGCGGTGGCCGAGCGAGAACAATCGAAATTTAGCGGAGGTGGCGGGAGGCGATCAGAGGGTGCGGCGTGTGCCTGCCGGACGACAAGCTTAACTTGTGCCTCGTATGATGGTGTTCCCTTTTAGCGCTGTGGCGATGCGATGTTTGCTGTTCTGCCTGATTCACCCCGGGTACGCATTTATAGAAGCTGGATTGTACGCACGTGTAGATGAAACGAGCACCCGCCCGCGCCCCAAGGAATAGAGTAAAAATGGCCGTAACACAATAGGGCTTAGTGTGGGGGTCCGTCACCGGGATCACCACATAGTGCTCAAGTTCTCGTGTTTTGATGGAATGGTAGCCATGGAATTCTTTCCTGCCGAAGGGGCAGAGGTACGGCGTGGCTCACACATCTGGGTGTGCGCTAATATGCATATCAGCAGCAGCAGAAGCACTATGCGAAGCACGGCATCGAACGAGATTCGTTGCCCAAGGTGCTCAAGCATTCAATCGCGGCAGTGGAGTTGGAAGAGTGATGGTAGGTTACCCAGGGTGAGCTCACCCGGGCCTCCGTATTTTCATGCAGCTGTCTGTGGTACTGCACACCTGTACATAGAGCTTAGTCCATGATATTCATGATAATATCGTTGCGGGAAAAAAAAACTGAAGCAGCCTCATCGAAATGCCCAACCCTCAGTTGCCGTAAGGAAGCGAGAGATGGCACCTACCAGCAAGATGACACACATCGGAGAGAACGCATCGGGTTGGGCCAAGAAAAAGCCAAGGACGACATCAAATACCGTAAGAGTCGGAGAGATGGCACCCCCGTTTTCGCGTTTTTTTGTGGCGTATTTCACAACAACCAGCGGGGTACCAGTGGCGAAAAGGGTGGTTCTGGACATATCTCGTGGAGGGCTTTCCTGAGAGGTACCGGTTGGTGTTCGCACCCTCCTACTTGTGGGGAAATAGGCTAAACGAAAACGCCAACACGGAGGTGCCATCTCTCCGACTCTTAGGGTAAAATAATTCGATTTCCGCGCCGGAGTACTGTTGAGAGATTTCATGGTATGCCATCGCAGCCAACAAACGAACGCAAGAAACCGCTACAGCAATTGGTGCGTAGGTCTCCCCACAATCAATCAACACGTGCTTGCTGCATATATCTCCTCTCGCCTTCCCCCTATCCCCGCTGTTCCCTCCCCCGTCACCGCGGTTGCCACCGCCAGTGACGAGAGCGTATATACGCCCCCACGCTCTCCGGCGCCTTCTTTCTAGCTAAGTGGCCTCCAAATCCACCCATGTACTCACCATATACCACCATCTGGATGTGTATTGTATTTCAACATCACGACGCTCATCAAGTGCGGTGTATTCAAGTACTGGAACAAACGGCATCTTCAAGTCCTGGTTTTAGAGAAGGGGGAAGGGGGGGGGGGGGGGGGG